AAATTGAAGTAAATTATCAAAAAAAAAAAAAAAAAGAAATACGTTAAGGGCCTTGTAGAGAGAGAGGGTAAAATAAGAGCAGTGAGACATAGGTCGAGATGTGAGACAAAAATTAAGATTCCAATTATGTGATATAATTTATATTTTTAATAATTTAAATAATTTAAATCATATCATCTCATTAATTTCAAAACTTTAATTTTATTTATAATTATTTAAAAAAATAAAGTGAAAATATGCACTTGAGTTTTCCAGTTTAGTGGTAATAAAACTATGTTAAAATGTTTTTTTTTTTTTCCGATCAAAAGTTCGAATTCGGCTTTCGTAAATATGTTAAAAAATAATAATAATGAGGTGAAAATGTAAATGGAAACGGTGGGCGGAAGTGGGAGGACAAAAAAGAGCACGTGTAAAGGGGATGAAAGGATAAGGGTCGGATGTGAGCAGGTCATAGGCGTGGCAATTCGTGGCAATTCTTGGATTATGTATTGAATAACATAGTGGGGGGGAAATTGTCAAATTAAACTGACACACAATTATAAGCTACAACTAATATTCTTCCACGTGGAAGAGATCGAAGTGGCAACATGAGATTATGATTTGATTTTCCTCCTGAGATTATTCGCCAATCGTCGCCCGGTGGTTTATTCGGAGTTCGGAGTTCGGAGTTCGGAGTTCGGACTTGAATTAGTAGTGCAATTAATTATTTATTAGGAGAAATTTTTTTTTTATATATTTGATAATAATAAAGTATATAAAAGAGATAATTTTTTTAATTCTTTTTTATTTAATTTAAGATTTTAATTTAAAATATCATATTGTTAAATATTAAACCACTTTTTTTGGTGATTATTTATTAGGAAAAATTACCCTCACGTGAGTTAGGTTAAAAAGTTTAGTTTTATTAAGAAAATTTTTATTAAAAAGTATATAAAAATTTGATAAATATTGTATGAAAAATAATAAATTTTATAATAAAATTTTATTAGATTGTTAAAATTTTTGTGTGTGATAAGAAACTAATATGTAAAAAGTTATAGAAAAATTGTTAAATAGGTTTTAGATACAAAAAAGTTAAAGAAATTTTTTTTTTATTTAAAAAACGTGGAAAGAAAAATTTATAAGTTGAAAATTATGTTAAAAAATAAATATTAAAAATATTATTTTTACTTATATTTTTATTATAGTATTATTAATGTATAAAAATATTTAAATAACTTTATAAAGTAAAAATTTTAAAGACTTCTTCTCCAACCCAACAGTCCAACACCCTCTTTCCTTCTTGTGATTTGAGTGAGTGTACTTAATTCCTCAAATTACAGAAAGTTGTGCTTACTCCTGTAGTTTGATCATTGTATTTATTGTATATTTGGATTATAGGGAAAAAAAAAACAGAAAAAGGAAAAGAGAAGGGAAGAGAGAATTTTTTAATTAATTAAATTATGATATTTTTTGTTAATTAAATTAAAATGTTATAATATAATTGATTAAAAATTCCTTTCTTCCCCTCTCCTCCTAATTATAAAAATACACTTTTAACATCCTTTAAAAATACATATATAACCTTTATGTGGTTTGTAAAATATGCACTTAACTTTCAAATTTATTAATATTGAAGATGAAATTTAAAAATATTAAGAAGTGCACATTTTTCAAATTATAAAGAGATTAATAACCCATTTGTATCATTTTAAAGGTCAAGTGCATATTTTAAAATTACATGAAGTTTAAATGCACTTTTTTGTAATTTTGGAGTTAAATTCACCACCCTATTGAGATTTGACTCATTATGACTAATGGTCAATTGATGAGAAAACATCAGCAAAAAAAATATTTTAATAGATAGATTAAATAATAAAACAGAATAAGTAAAAAAAAAAAACAGCTCAATTTAACATAAAAATCCTCTCTCTCGGAAAAATTACGGAGAATAATATGAAAATCTATTGATCAAAAGATAAAAAAATTCCTCTAATCTACAGAATAGTTATAACAACTTGGTAGTAATGTCTCACGAAGCTCTCAATCCCAACTCGCTCAACAAGTCCAATTTCTTTTCTTTCTTTCTTTCTTTTTTTTTTTTTACTTATGACTCAATAGCACTTCTCCACATTTTTATTGGAATAGAAATCTCTCCACCTCATATGTTCAGTGTTCAAGTTATCACTTGACAAAATTAAGTTTTTCAAATACACCAATGTGAGAATGTAATTTTAATATTATTTGAGAAGAGAGTAATTTTAAAGTGTACATAAAAAAGATGACCTAAAACATTTGAGCATTTAAAGAAAATTAAAAAAAAAATTGTTTGGTGGGTCTTGTATCCTCATAATACCTTAGAGTCCTTGGATGGGAATGGTTATGACTACTTAATAAATTATTGAGATCACATGAAATTTTTAAATTTTATCTCTTAAAATACTAGTCATGTTTAATTTGATGATTAAAATAGTTAATAATCATAATTGTTAGTTGATAAATAATAAAATAATTGATATTTATTACTTAACAAACTAAAATTAATTTACATACTAATGTTTTGAAATATCATAATTAATTATTTTAAAAAAATTATATGACCACAACAACTTTCTGGTTGGCCATAACATTCACCCTTTTGGCATGCAAAACGAGCAAGTTTGGATTTGGAGAAACCACAACAAACTCAGCTAGCTATGGTAAGTGGCGTAGTCAGAAATTTATTTTAGGAGGGGCAAAATGAAAATTTTGAAAAAAAAAAATACCCATGCATCTTTGCATTAAAAAAAAAAAACAATAGAAAGAAAAATTTTGATAAAAAATTATTATCATTTTAAACTAAGATTTTTTACTCTTTTAACGATTAACTAAAATTAATTAGTGGCATAGTTTTATATATATGACATTAATTGAAAGATAAAATAAACATATATTAAATAAAAGAATACTAATAAACAATAAAACAAAAGTAGAAGGATATTAGAAAACTAAAAAAATATTAATAAACAACTGTTATGTAAGAAGATGATAAAAGAACAACTTTGTATTCAATTAATCTTTATTTTTTATTATGTTATATTTTATCTTTATTTTCCTAATTTTCTCATGTCACTAAAACTAATCTTTGAAAAAACAAGGGTTAAAAAATAATTAAAATGTACGAAGTAAACAAGGATTGAAATAATAAAATTATAACTTAATGGACTAAACTTTTTATTTCTTAAAAGTTTAGTGGGGGCCTATACCACCTCAGGCCCCCCTTATCCCCGCGTTCGTCTCTATGTGATCAACTCTTTCTGCAGCCTGAAGCCAACAATAAGATATGGATTATGGACTTTTTTTTCTTATTTATGAAACATGGGAAATATGAGAAAATGTTAATAATTTAACTGTTATTATAATGTATAGAACTCTAGCAAATATAAAAAATTCATTGTACTTAAATTGAACCAAAGACAACCAAAGCTGCAGACGCGGAATATGGACCTTTTAGTTACCAAAAAAAATCAAAAAAAGCCGACGTCGGGGGATCTGTGCCTCCAGTGCCTGCTGGTGGAGTTTCAAAAAAAAAAGATGTGGGGAAACATACATATTCGTGAATGAAAAGACAGAGAAAAAGCACATGGGCCCAAACTTAACTAACAGTCAACCACCAACTACCATTCCATTCCTCCTCCACCAAATGTTACTCTCACTCCTGTTTTCCCTTCTTCCACGGGTATTATTACCCTTGCACCTATCAGAACGCAACCCCTATACCACTACCTTGGAAACGCCAACCAATGTCCTGGCACTAGTTATTTTGTTTTCGTTATCTTCAGGGAACTACTCGGTTGCCCCCCGTTCCAGGTTTCGCTTTCAACAGAATCAATTTCTGTGTCTCCTTGAAGCTCTGAGATCATTTTCGATTTCTGTGTGAATTTTGATCCATTGCTAATGGGGAAAGCCAGCAACAAGAACATACAAGCCAAGCTGGTGGGTATGTTTTGTCATTTTTTTTTTCTTTTTGTTTTCTTCTTTTGTTTTCTGCTTGACATAATAATGGGTGTTTGTAAATCTTGAAGATCCTAAAAGATTTTGTATCAATAGGGTGTTGGGTTTTAATCCTGTCATGTACATTATGAGTTGGACGAAATTACTGTGTTATTACTTATTCTGCCGTGATTGAGATTATTACTCGTTTTCCAGTGCAATTTTTTTATCAGTTGTGCTATGTTCATGAACCCATCTTTGATATATACATGACTTTGATGCTGAGGTAAATTTAATGGTCAATAATCATGAAGGTTTTTTTTTTTTTTTTTTTTTCGGTTTTTGGCCCTCTATCATGAAGTAATTCAAAAGAACACTAGTCTGGGAAAAGAAAAAAGAGCCTTTTTCAACCAATTTTCTGTTTCTTTGATCCTTCCCACTAATGATGATCCAAATAGATACTATTGACATGACTTTTCCCCAGGTACTTCTTGGGGACATGGGAACCGGGAAAACAAGCTTGGTCTTGCGATTCGTCAAAGGCCAATTCTTTGATTTCCAGGTGTTTTTCAATCTCTGTGCTTATTTTTTCTTCATTGTTGATTCAGTATATTCTTTAGGTATGTGTCATCTAACTAATGTGGAAACCATAGGAATCGACAATTGGAGCTGCCTTCTTCACTCAGGTTTTGTCACTGAATGAAGCCACTATAAAGTTTGATATATGGGACACTGCAGGACAGGAACGATACCATAGCTTGGCTCCTATGTACTATCGTGGAGCAGCTGCAGCTGTTGTGGTGTATGACATCACAAGCATGGTAGCTTTTTATTGAGTTTTTATCTTTATTCAGTTGCTAGCTTGCAGAATTTTTATTTAAAAATTGTTGATTTTTATAAATGGATCTCTGATTTCTAGAGAAGCTGCTCCTAAGCTAGTATGTTCTTGGAATGCTACCTGGTGGTCTCTAATCAAATAAAAGAAAAAGGGATTCTTTAAAGTTATCAGCTATCATTATGAATAGCCCATATTGAATATAGAGTTAGCATTCACTTACAGATAAGTTTTACACATCACATTTACACAAAATTTTGACCATTCATCTCTTTACTTTCAATGGTTAAGATTTATCATATCTTTTTAGATAAAAATATAATTTATCTTTAGTAAATATGATAAAAAATGAATAAAGATAATTATTAAAGATAGTTATCAGTTGTGCTATCATATTTATTAAAGGGGCCATGATACAGTGGACGAATAAGGAGGACGAAATCATGGGACGAATGACATGGCAAACCATGTCATTAATATATAAATTTTTTTAAAATTTAAATAAAGTAATTTTGCTAAGGTGGCATACCATTTCATAGTCGTCCCGTCAAATCGTCCCATTTTTTCCGTCTTTCTTATCATTATTCTTATTAAAGATAGTTATCTTTTCTTCTAAAAGATCGTGATAAATCTCAACTATTAAAATTAAAAAGATGAATGGTCAAGAATTTGTATAAGTGTAGTGTGTAAGTAGATCTCTACTCATATATATATATATATAAAGAAAGTAAGGATCCACTTACACATAAGTCTTACACACCTCACTTATAAGGAATCTCAACCATTAATGTCTCCACTTCAATAATTGAGATTTATTGACTTTTTATCATATTTATTAAAGATAATTATTTTTTTCATCTAAAAAGTCATGAATAAATCTCAACTATTGAAAGTGAAGAAATGAATAATTAAGATTTTGTGTAAGTGTGGTGTGTAAGACTTATGTGTAAGTAAATCCCTACTCATATATATATATAGACTTGGAGATTGTTCTTATAGGTAATTTAATTATATTAGACTTGGCTTCCTGTTATTAAATTGAATAAAAGTATCATGCCAGTAACTCTTTGGAGTCCACTTTGGTCTCTCTTTCTCTCCCTCACATCACGTGAATGCAATTGTTCACAACTTGACTTGTTGTTAACAGTTTTGAACAAAAGAATATCAAAGGTGACAGTTTAAAATTTATTGAGCTATTAGTTGATGGGTGAACATGGAATCCACTGTTGTTGATTGAGATCATTGCCTTTATATTCACAGTTCACAAGGTTATGAGAGTATACTTCATTTATTTTTGGCCAAAAAATGCTTTATTTCTTTCTGTACTAGCACTGGCATTTTACTGTTTTAATGGGAATCCATCTGGCTGATTGGACTTGGTGTTTATTTCTCAGGAATCATTTCAGCGAGCCAAAAAATGGGTTCAAGAACTCCAAAGACAAGGTAAACAACAAACAAGATACAGCTTTCAAACCTTTTCTTCTTAAGAATCATCTGAGGCTGCTCTGATATAAACTTGTGAATAAAAACTTTACAGCTTCAAAATCATTTTGGTCATTTATATTAACCATTCTTTAAGTATTTATTGGAATGAAGTTCACTGGAGATTAAATGATATAGGTCTTGTAGCCAAAAAAATGATAGAGGTCTTTGATCATCATTGCCCAGTAGACCTTTATTATGCCTTCTGCTCTGAAAAGTAGTATGCTGATCTTTTACCATTAGGAAAGGATCAAAATGAATCTGCATTGATACATGAAGATGTTAGAAGAATTCCTTTGGTTAATTTGACAAAGTTTTATGAATTTTGTTTCTACACATTAGTAGTCCATATTCAAATTTTACTAAATTTGAGTATTCTTTTCATTAAGATTTGAAATATGAGGTCTGACATATTCTATTGACTCCAAGGCCATGTTTGGTTTAATGGAATTGTTCCATGGTTAGTAGAAGAAAATAAAGTAAGTCGGAGGGAAAGAGTGGAAATGTAGGAATGGCTATTCAATGTTAGCACCTGTTTTCTTCTAATGAGTTGGTAATCCATTATCACCAGGCACCAGCTAGGTTTTAGTTATTCTGATTTCATTATCACTTATATTAGAAAAAAAATAGACTCAAGTATGGAAATAAGCATTCCTATTTTTCCATATTCTCCCTCCTTCTTTACCCTATTTCCATGCATTGATGGAATAGCCATTCCATTGAGCCTAACATTACCTAAAAGTTTGGCTCTTAACGAAATCCACAGATTGGTTGGAGAATTAAAAATGCTTCCTTCTGTATGTTAAAAATGTTGGCTAATGAGCATATACGTAATAAGTCAAGCTTGTTTTATGCTCCTTGACATATTATCTTATTCATGTTCCACTTGCTCAGGAAATCCAAATTTGATATTGTTCTTGGCGGCTAACAAGGTTGATTTGGAAGAGAAGAGAAAAGTTGGAGCTGAGGTAATCATGGCCTTTTTTTATTTTTCAATTCTATTTTTTCTTCCCTGAATCCACTCTCTTTCAGTCTCTGGTTGGAAATAGAATTGAATCAAAGGGCCAATCAACAGAATGACATGGATTGATTATTGCTTCATAGGATACCATGAGCAAAATGATTCATGAAGAACTCTTGTCAAATACATTTAAGGCACTTGTTAAGCACTGAGAGCATATAAGAGGGCTCATATAAAGGCCTTGGGCTTTGTGTCAAGGTTATTTAGGTGATTGCCTTAAGATTAGCCTTAATATATGCCTTTTCTTTCTGCAGATATAGACCTCAACATGAAAGAAATTTTTCTGTGTGTTGTGTGAAGTGAAACTCAGCAAAGCTTGTCGTATGTTTTGCTCTTAGACTTGATCTTTTGAGAGGAAAACTTGTGTTAAATCTAGAAATCTAATTCTTTATGAACATTGTTTCTTTTCCACAAGAGAGAGGAAGCAAACAGACAGTCAAACCAAAAAATAGTACATATACTCCATGTTATCAGTGTTACCCATGGTTGTGATTTGGTGAAGAGATGATGTATCAAAATTGCAACTTACCTAGTTTCCAAGTTTTTATGTTGAAATTCTGAGCTAGTGTTTTATGCAGGAAGGTGAGCAATATGCTAAAGAAAATGGAATGACTTTTCTTGAAACATCCGCAAAGACTGCACAGAATGTCAATGAACTTTTTTACGAAATAGGTAACTCTGTGTTTTCTTATGTCATTTCGTCTATCTTTCCCTTGAATTTCTAGTGATTAGAGTCATTTTTATAATATGTAATGCAAGTTGTAGCCAACATCCAATTTTAGGATTTTGAAATTTGTTTATTACTTAAACAGATGAAAATCTGGCATATATTTTTCATCTTCAACATAACATGTTTTCTAGTTCAATCTTTGGTCTGCATTTACTGTGTCAGAGCATGGACTTCATTTTAACTCAAAACAAATCCCTCGTTGGATGCACAAGTCAAGCCAATATCAACCTTCTATTGAGATTGATGAACTAGATATGATTGATAAATTATTTTAAATCTTGATTTAAGTTCGAACCAAACTTGAGAACTATCTATGTTACTCAAGCTGGGAACCTGTTCACCGCACTCATGGTACTAGGTTGAGATCAATTGATTCTGTAGTTCTCTCACTCTTCTCATGAGAGCACGCCTTTTTGCAGCAAAGAGAGTGGCAAAAACCCGCCCTTCTCGTCCAACCGGAATGAAATTGCAGAACAGACAACAAGAAAACCGAAGAGGACTATTTTGTTGCACCTGATGATGGATGATGCACGAGTTCTTGCAACTTACATGTATGTAAATTTTCTGATGTTTCAATGTCTAGTGATCTATCAATCTCCATCTGAATAAATTTGGCAAATATTATCATAAAAGAAAATCCATTTTCCAAGCTTTTGAAGGTTTCTTTTTCTCAATTATTAGATGATTATTATTCAAGGCAGGTTGTAAAAGTTGAAGAGTAAACTGCTGCTCTTGTGGCGGAATCCAGTTGCATGAATTATTAATGTCTTATATGTGCTACATATGTACACCATAGCCTGTCAATGCAAAATCTGATCACTACTTTCAAAAGTTTTACGTTCTTTATGGCATGGGTATATCTGCAAATAATGTACAAGATATGATTTTAGACCGTACATGATATTTTCTTGTAATGAAGAAAGACACATGCAACACTAGGTTCAAGATTTAAGTCTTGAAGTCAATAGTTAAGAAAATTAATTTTACACCAAGTCAACATAAGCAATAATGCACCTTCAAGATTAATTAGAAAAAGATTAATTTTAAGGTATGCAAAAATTGTCTTAGTAACATTTTTTTTTTTTATATTGGTTGTACAATAATCATTTTTCATCCCTTATTTCACCTCATATGCATATCGTTTGACTCGAACTCACCCCACTTACATATCATTTGACTCGAATTCAATACCTCTTACTTTCAGTAGAAGAAAATGACGACTAAATTAGTTAGATTGTTGACATTGTCTTAGTAACATTGGTTGTAAATAATAATACTACTAATAATAAAAGATAGATAGATGCAACAACAGGAGCAAACCCCATAGTGATTACAATAATCATATAATGTACCAAGAGAGATATTAAATTGGCATCTCTTGACAACCCAAAACATGGAGTTAGGGATCTCCATCCATGGTCAAAACCTAGTCTCACATGGTCCAAATGGTGCTCATTTTTTCTTTTTTTTTTGAACAAGGGGGAATTTAGGGTCTGTCCCAATAAGGACTTACCTTGACATTGGCGAAGGTGTTTAATATACGTTACCCACCAGTGGCTGTTGGCGCAAATGGTGCTCACTTAAACTAGAAGTTTAATTTAATCCAGGTTGGGTGAATTCCAGTTGAGTATTGAGTGCAGAAAGCCAGAAACTGAAGCTTCTTGTCTTGCCAGACCTGCCTCATTAAAGCTCATCGAAACAAACAAGAAACCTTCATTATAAAATCTGGACAAATTTCTCGTACCAGGTGACAGTTCTTGCGTTTTGGCTTTAAGCCTTTTTCACGTAGAAACCACCATCCGAAGCCCCTCAAAAACAGAGAAGTTTTCTTTGTTTCAAAAAATTAATCTTTTTTCCATTTTTCTTTTCTCATTCACAAAGTACTTTTGTCTGTTTCAATTCACATGCATCTTGTCAATTATCCTAAAAAACTGAACAGAGGCCAAACTCTCCTTGTTTTCTACCACCACAGATATCAAATTGTTAAGAACATCTTTTTTAAAAAATATTTACAAGTATTTGTGAGATTAATTAAACTAAAGAGGATAAGGTTATAAAAGGAAAAAGAACATCTTTCCGGAAACACCCTAACAACCAGATGAATACAAGCAAACAGAGAAAGAGAAAGTTGGAATTTTAATTAAGGGCATGGGCATGGGCATGGCTTCGGTGGCTGAGCCATCCCTCACGCCTGCTGTGAAATAAAAGCAACTACAGTTTCTCCTTTTCTGCTACAGCTAACATCTCCATCACGTATTCACAAACAGAAAACACCAAACCTCATTAAACTCTGTGAAAAGATGAAGAAATTAGACCTAGATTACCATGAAGGAGAAGTGCATGGAGAATCAGAAGATGATGAGGAGAGGCCATTGTTGCTATTAGAATCGTTGCTTGAAGTGCCTAAGGACCTGGCGTCTCTGAGAGAAACAGAGCAGGCCTGTGCAGGGAGCTTCTTCATCGGAGTCAATGGAGGTGTGAGTGGGGGCGAGTGGGAACTAACGGAAGACGGTTGAGCTATCTCTTTCTCATCGTCGTCGTCAGAAGAACGGCCGTCTTCTAGACGTGACGGCGACGTGTCCGGTGTCTCAAATGGTGTCTTTGCCCTGCATGCGTCGTTATCGTAGATGGGATTCGAAATGTACACGAAATCACGCTCCCCACTGCCACCGGTGCCACCAAAAGCCTTGTCATCACAAGGAGCACTACTACCGGGGCCGATTTTGATTGAGATTTCCTGAAGGTTCGGTGATGAAACAGAGGAAATTGAAAGCGGAGGAGAAAGGATTCCCTTTTTTTTGAGACATTGGTTTGATTCTTGGGCGGCGTGAACTTCAAGAACGGTGGGATCAAGCTCAACCTTGGTTTCTTTGTAAACTATAGGGAAAAGTAGGCTTCTAGGAGCACGAAGAACCCCCTGCGCGTAGAAGCTGCTAAGAGGACTGGTGGATTGGTAGTGGATTTCTTGAGAAGGAGCAGAAGCATTAGCGGCAGCTGCCACCACGGCCGCGGTAGTGGGGAGGGTGGTGTCAGAGTTGGACTCTCTCATTTTCCTGCGGCGGAGCAAGAGAGAACAGTAGAGCTCAGCCAGAAGCACCAAGATCAGGCCTAATACAATGGCAAGGCTCACGACCATTACCAGGGTCGCACCCATGATCACCTTGGATGCCCCCTTCATCTTTCTCTCTCTAGATTCTGTGTCTGTTTCAGGCTTTCAGCACCGAAGTGGGTGCAGTGAAAGACATGACAGTAAATAAAGGAATGGTGGGAAGAGGGTTTTTTTTTTTTTGGCGGGAAAACAGTGCTCTACACTCTGACAGAGAAAGGAGGAATCTCGTGAGGCATTGGGCCGAGGGAATGCAATCCAAGGGCTCTTTTTTTTTTTTCTTAATCTTATGTATTTAAAAGTAATATTAAATTTAAATTAATTTAAAATTAAATTAAATCTTATAAAAAAACTTTTTTAATAGATATATAATTAAAATTGTATTTAAAAATTAATTTTTTTAATTTAAATCAACAAATCATTGATAAAGGGTTGATTTGTTTTGAACCGGTTTAGTTTAGTTTTTTGACTTCTTGTTGAAAAGAAACTTTGAGACCATAATGGTCATTGTGCAGCAGCACCTGTTCAGCATATAATGCCATGAAAGCTTTCTCCAATAAGGCAGTTCAATTCAAGGCCCTGCACGTGTCATTCCATAATGTACCTTCGAAGTTTTTTACTCAAATTGAATCCATTTTCTTTTTCCGGTCATGTCTGTACCTAACTATAAAAAAAACACTAACCTGGGAAGATAGGGGAATGGTCAAGGGTCCAAGCCAACCATCGAAAAATGTTAAGATTGTTAAAAATTATAAAATATGATTTTTAAAAATAATATTTTTATTTAATTTAATTAATAACATAATAATAAATTTACTATAAAATAATTAATATTTATTAATTAACAAATTAAAATTAATTAATAAAATTAATGTTTTTTAAACATCTAAAAAAATAAAAATTTTAAGATTTTTATTATGTTAATTACATTCAAAAAATAACTCTTGATAGTAAAAAATTTACTTTTCATTCAAAAATTAATTTAGTGTAATATGGTATAATTTTAACTGCATTTAACATTTTTGTTCATAAATATTTTTAAAACAAACAAAAATGATTTGTTCGACAAGCTTTTCACTCAACCAAACGATGTAAATCAGTATGATATTCACTCCTCTCTATAGATCAGTTTTCTAAAATAATTAAGTAAATAACAAATCAAAACATTTTAGAATCCAGAAACAACAGTCAGCAGATGGGGACTGCCCTTTGCAGGTTGTAATCAAGGAGCCCTCGTCTAATGCGAGCAAAATACTTTCTAGTTTGCAGAAGGTTTAAATTACACTCCATTATTTTCAAATTGAAGTAAATTATCAAAAAAAAAAAAAAAAAGAAATAAATTATTATCTCAAAATTTTATTCTAAGCAAATCAATTTAAATTTAACTATTATTGTTAATTTTTTTATTAAACTTTAAAAATAATAATTTAATAAAATCTATTGAACAATTGATAAATTAAAGTTAATTTTTCAAAAATAAAATTTTAATCAATTTTCACATTTGACCCTTCCTAGTTTTTAGAGAATTTGACAAATTTTTTGTAGAAACAATCAATCTGAAAGGGTTGATATTTGATAAATTTCTGAATCTGAATTTCCATCCATCAATGTTAGGCTCTGTATCGTACGAAGGTACATGCATGATACATGTTTTACAAACTTGTGGCGGCGTAGAAATTAAAGAGGTATGTATACATGATATGGTGACTTGCAGAACGTCAGAGAGCAATGCAAGAAGTACATACACACAAAGACAACACTCAATACTGAAAAATTGCAAGTTGGAAGATTGCACCCCTCATTGCATGGGAGAGCAGAAGAAAACAAGTTTAGGATCGGCAGAACTCATACTTTATCTCCCTCTCAGAGCCGCAAATTGGGCAGCCAGGTCATCATAATCAGGTAATTTAGGATGCACATGTCGGTCTGCATTTGACCTATCTGGCTGAAAAGTAGCAGCACGGGCAAACACTTTTGCTTGTGGTTGAGTTGTTGGTTCAGGAGGCAGAGACGTAGATCGAATAGGAGGAATCCCAGACATTTCATCAGACCCATCTCTGGTTATGTTTGATGGGGCTTCACCTGCTTCCGTGCCCCAGTGATGTGCACGATGACTTCTTGATGGTTTTCTTCTTACCTTTCCTTCTTCATAGGATGATGGCTTCTTACTGTAATGCATCAACAGTTTATCAATTATCCTTTCCTCTTCATCATCCTTATGTTGGTCATCATCAAACAAGACTTGCAAGCCCCGTCTAGAGTCATCCCTTCTCCTGCTTCTGGATTTTCCCCTTACAGCGCGTGTGTGTTCATCATTGTCAAAATCATCTTGACTAGACGATTTTACATGATGCCGCCTTCTATTGGATCTTGGTTTCGGAATGGGGTTATCAATACCATCATTCTGATAATAATAACCTTTTTCACTGCCGTGATAACCATTCACAGTTGCAGGTGCAAATTTTGGTCTCTGATCATCAGGATGATTTAACCCTTCTTGGTTCTTGTCTGACCTATTTACTGTGAAGGCTTTTTTATGTGCAGAAGCATCTTTCAAGACTGTATCATTGTCCAAATCAGAACTTGAAGATCCAAAACTCAAACCGGCACCATGCTTGCTGTCCTTCAATTTAGTATTTGGTTTAACATATGGAGGAGGGAGCATACCATTGTAATGGGGTTTTAAGCGAGATGTATCCTCCCGAGCTCTCCTTGTTGTATCATCAATATCATGACCATCACCCATAAATGAATCTTTATCATGATTCTTCAATTTTTGTCCTGCATGGCTAGGACTAAGATCTGGCTTCCCCTTGAGTAAAATGTCCCTGTCATCTATTCTAGGAACATTATTCTCCCTTACTTCTGGCAGCTTGCCTCCACCATCGTTTCTGTCCATGCTTCTCCCATGAGATGAACTGCGTACCCTACCTTTTGTTGAAGTGACACCCTCCATCCCATCCCAAATTTCACGCTTACTAGCAGAAGCTTCTTTTCTTCCCCATAATGACGCATCATGATTGTCCTTCCCTTCCCTTCCATTTATTGGTCTGTACCCCTCAAAGGACTCTTGTCTAGACTGATGGTTGAGCTCATTCCTGTTTGAGTAATTATCCTCCTTCTTGTTGCCCAATCGATGCCCATCATTACTTACTTCAAGCTTTTCTTGAGATTTAACATTAGTCTTATTTCCTTGTGAATAGACATCCTTCCCATTACTTGATTTAGACTTGTCATCATTGACATGGAAAGAACCATAAGTCCTTGGATGGCCCTATAAAACAATTATATAGTTTAAAAGAGTTCAAGTGTGGGAAGACCTCCACAGACGTAATCTCAATGAGTGCAGAAAATGTCAAAATCAAACATAAGAGAAATACCTTAGCAACTGCAGCCGGTTTAGAAATCCTTTGCTCAAAGTCCTTGCTGTCCCATTTTATTGAAAATTCTAATGCTATTTGTTCCATTAACATGACTCTCTTCTCCAATGTAGAAGGTTTTGATGCTAAATTCTCAACAAACTACCATGAAAATAGTCAGAAGAATGAATGCTGTAATGGCATTATAAATTAGTTTCTATTTGGAGTTAATCCATAGAGATTTACCTCCTGATTGACAAATAATTCCAAAGAATTTCCATATCTCTCATGAAACATATTCCTAAGATCACGTAACTCTGGCAAATCAGAAAATCTTGCAGCAGCAAACATTATCGATGATACAGCTTCCCTACAATCCTCAGGGCAATCTCTGTACACATAGGAATACAGGAGTGAGGACATTTCATAATTATTATAGTTGCAGTCAGATTACAAAAGACAAATTATCATGTTAAAGTTAAGCCAAAGAAGTGCATAATTTGCATCATGTTATGAATGTGAAAAATTGTACAATAAGATACATCTAACTTAGTCTTATGGTTTCCATAGAGAGATAAAACCTACATTGGAGAAGCATGGTTGTCAGATCTAGGTACATGTCAACATACTCATAATTTATTCTCTAGCATAAATGGCTGAGTGAGCTTTTTGGGATAAAATGTTTATCTAATAAAGTAAACTATTAAACAACAGCCAAAGAACCAAAGAGAAGAAGTTCCTTCTTTATGTTGAACCAAAGTTAAATCCTGTATTCTATATATAGTAGGAATATTGTATTTTTCACCAAAATTAGCATGATAAAAAAATGTTCAAAAGTGTCAATAACTGTTACATTACATGTTAATTGTTCTAACTCTTCCACTGATAATCTCCTCAACAGTCTGAGTCTAAAACATCTAACATAAACTCAATGTTTCTTTTCAGTTTTCAACTTTAATGGACACCGCATATAGCCACATAGGAAAGGAAAAAACTATAGAAAGATGTATTCTGGTCAAGAAACCAGATCTTCCATCCATCCTCTTTCCTTCCTATTTTTAACTGTTTAAGGCTAACCCCCAAAAGGCAATGATATAGGGACAACTTTTTTGAACCACCTTTTTATACAACTTCCACATGTAATGGGTGGATGCATTCAATATCACATGTAAGGTTGTACCAAAAGGTGTAACAAAAAGATCTAAAAAGAATAAATCTCAGACTTTGAAACAGATTATCCTATGATTACTGAAAAAAGCCGAAAAAATTCAATCATTCTAAGAGACAAAGTATTCATACTCAAACGGATCTCAAGCTACATTACAGGATTATATAAAAGGACCAAAAGAGGTTGATGTTGAAGGGGAAAAAAAGGTTGAATACCTCAGTTTTTGCAGGACCGTAAGATGCTTCAAAACAAAGTCGCTACATGTCTCGATAAAATCATAGCACCACGAAAGGTTCAATTCGACTAGAAATCCTTCAGCCTGATTCACCACATCACAAAATAAATTTGACTTCAATTGAGAGACTAAAATTGTCAAATGAAATGCAAACCATAAAAATCTCAACACCAAATTCTAAAATCAATTGGAAAAAAGGAAAAAAAAAAATGGAGGAGTGTAGTTCGAATTCGAAGTTGCTGTTTTTTCGCTATTAATAATTCTAAAATCTAAAAATAGAGCATAAAAAAAAAAGGCATATCAAAAAAATTCTTTTTTAGTATTTCGTTTATGTCTGCATAAAAAATTTTGAAATTTCAAATTTCTGAACTCTCGATTTCTCCATTTTTGGTTAATTTTCGCATCATGAAACAGATCAAAATCAGGGAAAAAAATAGAAACCAGTGAGTTTCTCGATTGGAAACTGTAATGCAGTTACTTACCCTGCCATAAGCATTGATATCAAGGCCATTATAGAGCAGATCAGCTATGTCTTTCTTCAAGAACTTCTGCGTCGCGTTCCGCTTCCGTCGTATCACATCGATCCGACTCTTGGTCAGTTTAATCAACGATTTACTGCAGAAAACCACAAAATCAACATCCAGTCAATTCCTTTTTATGCGATTAAGAAAATACGAGGATCACCGATAGAGAAAAGAGTAGAAACCATTTCCCGGCATAGCCTCGCCCAAGTAGGCCGTCGAGCATCTTCGATCTAGGAAAACTTCGAGTTGCAGAAAGATTCTACTCAGGCTCAAAAAAAAAAAAACCTGCAACCTACGTAGCGAATCAAGTGAGTTTCAGATCCACCATTAAAGAACAGCGCAGTGGAGGGGGTAGAGATTCGAGGAAGAAAAGATGAAGAAAACAAAAGCTTCTCAAGTGCGTCTTCAGAGCACTTTTTCAAAACAACGTTTTTGAACCGACGGTGAGTTGATGCCACGCACTAACTACAAGCGCTGACTTCATTTACGATAACACCCTTTTGTCCTTCAATATAATAACGGATTATTATAACGTTATAAGGGTAGTTTGGGGAAAGTGGGGGTTATAAAAATTTATTGAAGATAAGGCGGCAGGGATGGGAGACCGTGGCCGTTAGTTATGGTGGGATGGGCGTGGGTCACTAACTGGTAATGATTGGAAATCATTTTCCTACAATTTCCTCGCGCAACTTTCCCTTCTTATCTAATTAAATAAGTATATATATATTGAAAAAATATATAATGTTATATTTTAATTGTTAATTATTATAAATAAAAGATTTGTTTATTTTAAAATAATTATTTTTTATTTTAAATTTATTTTAAATTAATTTTTATATTTATATTTAAAAGTATATAAATATTTTTTATTTTAATTTTATCATTATATATTTATTTTAATTAATTACTTAATTAAAAAAATATTTTTTATTATTTATTTTTTAAAAATATTATAAATAGTAGATACAAATATCGTCTTTAATTCTTAATTTAAAAAAAATAAAAAATGATAATTATTTTAAAATAAAGAGAATAATTATTTTTTTATTGAATTTAGTTATTTTATTTTTTACATAAAGATAATTTAATTTAACTATCTCATATTTTATTTTAATAGATATTAAATATTAATATTTTAATTTTATAATTATCTTTAAACTGTGTTATTGTAAAATTTTTTATTTATTATAAATAAAGGTTAAAATAAAAAATAAATTTTAATTATTATCATAAATAAATTATTTTATAAGGATTGACATAAATTAAGAGTATAATTATTATATTTTTTCATTAATTATTATTAAAAAAATAACAATTAATTTTTATTTAAATAATTATTTAATTAAAATAATTTATGTGAAACTAATAATGAAATTTATAATAATTTCTATATTATTTAATAAAAATTAATAGAAAAAATATAATAATTATATTTCTAATCTCCGTCTTAAGTTAGACAAATTTTTTTATAATTATAAATAAATAAAATAAAATAACTAAATTTTCGTAGTTTTCGTAGCGAACAACGCAACGTGCATTGAGTGGGTCTGACTAAACAACGTGATTATAGGAATCTAATGAGCTGGCGCGCAGAGTTTAATTGTTGATTAAGGTGCGTAGACCTCGTGGTCTTTTTTTTTTTGGTTTCCCGCCCGGTATCCGAGGCTTCGCCCCGACTAATTCAGACCCGATCCGCGTCGCGCACCTGAAAATGGCGGGTGAGTCTCCCAGCGAAGGCTGCTGCATACACAAGGACTTGAACTCGAAACCTTACTTAAGCTGGAACAAGCCGCTTACCACTTGATCCAACCCCTCGTTGGTTAGACCTCGTGGTCTTTGCTTTATGATTTCGTGTTCTGCGCCGTTGCGTCAATGTTGAAGAAAAAAGAGACCGCCGTTATAACGGTTTTAACCGGGATGCCGCCACAAAAAAAAAAAAAAAAATCTACGTAATTCTTACTCGTTCTGTTTTTTAAGGGAGTACTCAAGTCTAAGAAAGTTGCTTTTAAACTCAATTTTTTCCTCAAAAATTTAAAGGAAAAATTTTCATTTGATTTTTTAAAGTGGCTTACAAAAAGAGTTTTGAGGTAATTAAAATATGTGATTTTATAAAAACTTATTTATAAACCATTTTAAAAGTTAAATTCATTAGTGTGCACATCACCCTTTCTCTTTCCCCAAACCTCTTCTGCTCTTCTTGGGTCTTTGTTTGTCTTTATCGATCAATTCACATTTTTCCGGCAGTTAGAGAAGCAGAAATAAAGGTGAAATTCTCTCCCTTTAGATTTCTCTTTAGAGTTTTCATCTCTTTTGATGGTGTCTGCGTCATCGCTTTTAATGTATTTTTTTCAAGTTTTGGTTTCGTTATGGTGGAGGAGGAAGATGGCATAGATGTAGGGTTGGTTGGGTCTATAGACGGATCGGAGTGTTTACTTGCATTATTGATGATACGATCAAAGTGGGGTCTCTTGTTAACTTTTTTGCCCTATAAATTGGAGTATCATATGAAACATTTTAAATGTTTTATAAATATCAATAATTTAAATAGTTTAATAATAACTTTTTTTTAAAAAAAATATTAAATTTAAATTATATGATATGTAAATAAAGTTAGATAAGGGATAAAAAATATTATTTTTTATTTGCAACCAATATAATAAAAAATGTTTTATAAATACAATTGGATAGTTCTACTAAATATGTTTGCTCTCCTATAACAATCGTTTATGTTCTCAATTGTTCATATATGTCAATGAGCAAAATCATATATTACTAATGTTATAGGTTTAGCTTGACTTTGCTATACCTATACAATTTAATCCATTGAGATTATTATATAATAATTTTAATTTTTAGGTTATTAATGAATTTCATAAATTTATATATTTTTAAATTTGTAAGAAAAGGATTTATTTAATTAAAAATAAACATACTTTTAAGCTTTACTAAACAATCTCTATATATGAAAGCTTTTTTTAAAAAAAAAAAAGTGTCTCAATTAATAGTAACTCACCATATTAAATAACTACATTAGCACTAATTGAAATGTAATGTGGCACTCCAAAAATCACATTATTTTTTATTTATAAATTTTGTAACCTTGTCTTTATAATTGTTTGTTAATCAATATACTCCCACATTCTAAAAGAATAATATAATTATTATCATGATTTTTGAAAAAAAATAAAATTCTTATCCTTTTAGCATTTAATTTAAAATTCTTCGGACCCTAGCGTAGCAGAGTAGTAGAAACTAGTCAAGTAAAATTTCGGCATCATTTGGTAGAGTTAATTTTTCAACTTGCTCTTAATTAAATTACTTGTTTATCTCTTAAACTTGAAAATTTTTTTTGAGTGAAATGTTGGTTTTTAATATTTAAAATACTTATTTTTACCAAAATTTTTTAAAATACTTATAAACATATTTTTAGCTCCTGTTCTTTTAAACTTTATTTACTTGGTATGCACTTTTAAATGCTAAAAATGTAATGTTTCCTTTCAATACTATTTTAAACTTGTGAAATAA